CTCTAAAGATTTTGCTTTGTTGATCTAATTATGTTTAGTTTTTAGGATGTGTTTGCATACTGAAAGGTATGCAACAAGCCCGATGCTTATACAAGCTCATGCTTGTGTGCTTCCTTTCATATAAAACACTCCAGAGCATTCAAGTTAATACCAATCACTGAGTCCAACCCTAAAGAATGGCGGGCATTTCATAACTATTGCGGCTCATGAAGAACATAACTGCTAATAAAACCCAACCGCTGAGACTTATAGGCTAAATGCTTTGCAGTGGATGGGCTAATAATAATATCTGGGAGTAACACCAAGAAATCCTCGGGGATAATGCCAGATAATCACTGCTGTACACCCCCAGTGGGCTAATACCAGCAGCAAGGGTTGCAGTGCTGCTGCAGAGTTTAGGAGTGCAAGAGGCAACTCTGCAGTGCAGCACATGGGACTTCCATCAAAGCTAACTTCAAAAGCTAATACCCTGGCTTAAAATCTTTCAAGGGGGGTTTTACAAAACCTAAACAAGGGCAGACACATTGAATCTGACCGCTGGGAGTCAGATAAAAGCTAGCCACAGATGCTTTAGCTCAAATTATAAAGAAACAGTGGTATTTTTAAATGCATTTTTCTTGTTTTTTAGCATCATGCTGTTGTTTTTAGCTTGAATCTAATAAATTCTGTTGAATGACAAACAATTCCAATATAATTGTTATTGTGCCCAACCTTCTTGGGTTCTCGTGGCAACATGTTAAAGTCAACAACAAAGCAAAATCCCTCGAGGGCACGTCTCACCACTTGGTAACAACCTCCAAGTAGTTATTTTGGGCCAACAAGGCCAGGTTCCCATCTGCACGAATGGAGAAAGAGCCATAACTACAATTTTAGTGGTCGCTAGGACAGAAAAACTGCATGTACAGAATCATCAGTGTTTTCCCCACAGTTTGTGCTACTAGGCACCATGCTTGCGTCAGTGTAGCAACACAATCGGCCAGATGCTTTCTGGTTTGGCTGTTACAAGTCAGATATTTCGCTTTTTTGAGTGTCTTTCAACCACCACCTTCTGGAATTCAGCCATAGATTTCTATTCAGGTTGCTGTTAGCGGTGAGTCTCTACCGAATAACGTCTCTGAACAAAGCAACAAAGATCTGCAGCACCAAAAAGAAAAAAAAACTATCTAAAATGGGAATTCCAGCTGAAGAGCATTCAGCCAAAGCCGCCACAGGTACACAGCTTCTCTCTGAGAGATAACCCTGAAGCAAAAAAAAAAAAAAAAAAGAGCTTCCAAATACAGAACACAAAGTATTCCCCATAACCTCCGGATTAAATGGCCCCAACTTAAACCAAAGCGAGGCCGTCGAGGCTTACACTGAAGCTGAGTGTTATGAGGTGTGCGGATGATGTTATCCCTGCTGGAAGTGTTGCATCAACTGCCAGCTCCTCGGGGGGAATATCACACGAACTACGGCAGGCCTGCTGGGCCACAGCAGTGTTGGAGTGCTGTGTGCCCAGCGTGTAAAAGAGGCTACTCCACTCGGCTGTGTTTCCAGCAGCTATTATCCAGTGCATTAATGAATGGGTCCTACTGTTGTTCACTGAGCCACACAGGACTACAGCACAGGAACACCTGACAGTCTCTAATGTATTCACGCTGAAGAAGTGCAATGTTTTGAAGATCTATTATCCATTATTACATACAGTATAGCACTCTGCTCCACAGTGTATTGCATTTGCATTTTCCATTAAACGGAACAGGAGTCCATATATTTACAACGCAGATAATAGTAGCTGAAGTAAACCCTGGAATATCAAGGCAGTAGCAATGTTCTGTTACAAAACAAAACAAAACATGTGGATGAGTTATGAATTTTGGAGTCATATACCTTTTAACTTTTTTTTTTCAGACACCAGCCATCTTGGATTTTGGGGTTTTACCAACAGAAAAAAATCATGTATAATAATAATAATAATAATAATAATAATAATA